CCCCCCAAAGCCCCAGTAGATAGTTGTATGTCATAGCTGCACATCCTTCTAGTTGCTGTATGTGGGACTCGGCCTCCGGATGGACGGAGAAGTGGTGCCTCGGTGCGCGCCCGGGATCCGAACCCGGGCCACCAGCATCGGAGCGCGGGCACTTAACCACCAAGCCACGGGGCCGGCCCTGTCTTAAGTTTTTTAAACTTTAAAAATTCCTTAAGGGATTTATAAAACCTCTTGTTTAGATTTGTGTTCATTTAAAAGTCCATAATCAGATGTTTCTTAGGTCTATTATATGGACAAAGGGACAGTTTTGGAAGCCTCCCTGCTTCCCTTTGTAGTGAGAACATCTTGTTCTCTTCAGAGGGTTTTGTGTACACTGTCTAATTGGATGTTCTGAGGCCTCCTGGGCTTGGTGGATGGTGGTGGGGTGGGGCCTCACTTGGAAATGAGGAACTAATTGAAAGACAGAGCAGCCAGGTGACTTGCTCAGCTGGTATCTCACAGAAGGCTTTAAATATGTTTTTTTTTTGCTTTTTCCTTTTTCCTTTTCTCAGAGCTTAACAAAAGATTTGGGAGGCAGTGCAAAATGCTCAGACTTCACAGAAGAAATCTGTCGCCGAGTAAAAGATTTAGATTAAGGCTCCTACAAATGGTGTTTGCATCAGTCACTCCTAATGGACACAACATAAACCTATATTAGAATACCTCCCATTATGTATGCATTTGTTTTGCTTGTTTCTTGACAGTACATTTTTAGATCTGGCCTTTTCTTAACAAAATATGTGCAAAGGATGCGGGTAATGTACCTACGCCTGCTTTAAAGGACTTTTTCAAGTGCTTGTTTTATTTATTAAATGTCTATCTTTCCAATTTTTGTAAACTCTAAGTGGACTGTATCATTTGCCATTGTTAACCATTTTACACTTCAGTTAAAACAGTTTTTCCTCAGCTGTAAATATCATGATACAGAATTAATAAGAGAAAACATCTAACTTTTTAAAGAAAAACCCTGTTTCCCTTGGTTTATGAAAAATATAATAGAAATAAAAGAGAATATTGACATAATAGCACAAGATGACTTTCTTATAAAACTAAACAGGCACAAGAGAAATTTCCTGGGAAAGTTCACATCAGAAATAGTGAATATGGTATATTTCTTAGTGATAGGGAAAATTAAGACAGATTTCTCGTTTATATGAATTACTATGAATAAAGACTTCAGATCTAAGAAATATACAATGAGAGATATAACTTTTGTTAATAAGATATAGGTAATATATTTGGTACAAAGACACAAAGGCATTGTGTATTCAACTATTTTGTTATCTTGAGATTTACTATTCTTTGTGAGAGCTTTTAATGAAGTGAAGGGGTGGTACTTCCTTTTCATTGGACACACTAAGCATCACAGCGTTTGAGCCCCTGGACTGACACTCTCGAGTGGGACGTGGGAGCTACCACTGTGTGCGAATACTCTTCTGCAACACGCATGTCACTGTCTGGAAATGGACCACACTCCAGCTGATACTGCTGAAAGGCCTGCCCACATTATAATTTTATATTTCAGTGGCTGCCTTTCCCCTTCCTCAAAGCACCAAATCACTGCCCTCCGCCTCAACACCACCAGTAAGAGATGAGATTGCAGAGACTGGAGCAGACTGAGCCTGAGTTGATTCATAAAATTGTGCCACACTGGGGCTTGGGCTCAGTTTTTGACCTTCAGGCGTCTCCCTTACCCCCTCCACTCCCTGCCCCCAGCATGATTTTTCTTAATCTTTGGACAGTAAGTCACTATTTTCATCAACGGTTAGCCTTGGCCCCATACAAAATGCAGCTCTTGCCCTCCCTTGCCCCTTGTGTTACATTGCAAACCTGTGGCTTTGCATAATGTACCCAGGTCACAAGGCGATTTCTTAACAGCAGATATCTCTGCCTGGGTCCTTTTCTAGGCTTGTAACCAGACTTACAATCTAATATGTATTTTATTTTGTTTAAGCTCCTGCTTCCTCTGTTTTATTGGATTGTGCTAATTGTCAGTGATTCTTGGGTTCCCACAAATAAAGAATTCCCAAACTGCTTGAGATGTATGCTTTCTCTACCTGTTTCCCGTTTAGATGCCTTCGTCATTTTGGCTCAGTTTGCTGCTAAGAATGGCTGCTTAAGGTATTCAGAGTGGAACGGGTGACGGCTAGTCAGAGGGACAGACTAGCACGAGTCGGCACTTTTACTAGAATGCTCCACTTGACCCCCTCCTGCACGTTTGCTTCTTCCAGGGCACTTGTGGTCACTCATATGTTAGATACCCACTACTCTGGACTGCTCTCCCCTGCTCAATTGACAGAAAAATTGGATACTTGTTGGCAGTTCTGTTAAAAAGTTTAATGTTCGAATTACACATTAAATACAATCAAATGGGCAGCAGCAGTTGTATTAGGCATCAGGTCAGTTGGCGTGTGTGTGGTGTGGCAGTGTCTGGTAATGGAACGATAGGGTCGGCAGCGTCCACCGAGATGCCAGAGTAAGGCCGTTAGGTACGTTATAATTGTTGGCTTTCCCCGCAGCACACACTAGTAATAGGAGCCATCTTCCCCTTCCTCCCTCCCCAACACACAGCCTGCCGCCGGCTAGCCTGTTACATGAGCTAGCAGCCTGTTAAATCTACCTGGAACTAAGGCCAAAAACTGTCAGCCCTTAGTTCTGAAAGGAGAGCCGATCTCACTTGTCACCTGAACAAAGAGCAATACTTAAACAGAATTAAACTATGCACACGTGAAGCTTCTCGGAATTGTCAGCTGTTGTTGGCATAAGACCTGGCAAATGTAGACATCACTGCTGTATCCTGACCCGGAGACCTAACAGACTTGCCAGAAGTCCGTGCGCCCAGACTGAAGAGGACCTGGAACTCAGGAAAACACTTCGGAAGACCTGCCACCTTCAGTAGAAACTGGAAGGACAGCCCCTGGTTACTTTTTTTGCTCTTGGTAAAAGGAATCGATGATATCTTTGTACTTCTCCAGAACTATGAGCCGTTTCAGTTTCATTGTGGGACCTACAAGAGAAATTGGAAGAAATGAGTGAGGCCTAGGCTCTGAGAAATCTGAGAAGGTGCATGGTAAAGATCCAGACCCAATGAGGCACATAACTCTGGAGACAAATGAGTAGCCAGCCTCTAAGATGGCCCTCGGTGATCCCTGCTCCTGGCAGTCACCCCCTGGTGTAGTCCCCTTGCACCTTATACCAGGGCTGGTCTCAGTGGTCAGTAGAACACAGAGGAAGTTATGGTATGTCGCTTATGAGAGTGGTTATGAAAGATTGTACTTTCAGATATAAAGTGGTGTAAAAGCCACGTCCACCTTATCCTTGACCTGCACCCATTTCTGATCCTCAGTGCATTTTCTATTCTGTCCCTTGAATGAAAAATGATTCAAGCAATCAAAAAAAAAAAAAAAAAAAGACTACAATTTCTGTCTTGATCTGTCTCTCGAATCATTCTTTCTGGGGCAAGCTGGCTGCTAAGTTGTGAGGGCACAAATGCAGGCAGCCTATGGAGAGGTCCACTGGTAAAGAACTGAGGTCTCTGGCCAATAGCCAGTGAGGAATTGAGGTCTGCCCACAACCACATGATTGAGCAAGGCAGTTGACCCTCCGAGCTCCGGAGGACTGCCGCCCAGCCAACATTTCGACTGTCACCTCTTGAGAGACCCTGAGCCAGAACCACCCAGCTAAGCTGTCCTGGATTCCTGATCCACAGAAACATTAAGATAATAAGTGTTTATGTTTTTAAGATGTTAAATTTTGGAGTAATTTGTTACATAGCAATAGATAACTAATACACAACTCATCTCTGCATTTCAGTGAAAGTTCAACCAATGTTGGGTATTATGCTTCGATTGCTTGTGATGGGCTAGGGGAAAGCCCTAGCTGGGGAGGCCCGCTGCCACGGTCTGCATGAGAGGTCTTCCCAAATTCACTTTTCTTGGCTGGGGTCCCCCCTCTGAAGGTTGAAAGGGCCCTCATTTGAGGTCCTGGGTAGTTTAAAGTCCTTTTTGTGCTAACTCACACTTGGCTGTGTGACTGGAGACTTCAAAATCAAATTCATTTATATAAACTGCTTAGAGAAGACATCTTCTGTCTGGTTGACCTTGCATTCAACTTCTTAGCACCAGACAGCCAGATAAGCTGAAAGGCCTCTGATTGCAGCTCAGCATTACTGTGGACAGCTGCATCTGGGTTCAGCCTTGATGGGTTGGAGGGAATCTCACTGAAGAAGCCATTTCTACTTCCCCCTGTGCCATGAACACCCCAAGATGCTACAGCCAAGAGCAACTTCGTCCATCCAACTGAGGCCATACCCGAGGCGTTTTCTGGTTCTGTGGACTGTTATCCAAGAAGGCTTCATCCTTTTACCTGAACTGACTTTTCAGAAGGTGGTCTCACCCCCTAGAGCCAGGTGACTCCAGCCCAGACACTAATAGGGCCTTGGTGTCTGCCTAGTGGTCACTTTGTGATTTCAGGGGAAAATGGTCCCATAGTCAAAGCAAAGTTAAATGCTGTATGTTCAAATTAATAAGTTCCAGCACATATCTTATACATTTAGCAGGCTCTACACAACCACAAGCCCATGCACTGAGCAATCAGTGTCCTCCCAGGGGAAGGAGGTGGGTATCCTCTAAAGTGCTGACAGTGACCTTCTGCTTGCCATGGCTGCTTCCTAACAGGCACTTCCCAGGCTCTGTCATGGCCTCTGCCCTCCCACACAGTGCCTGGAATAGCGAAAACAAAAAAACCTACCCAACTCTCCGCCTGAAATGGAGAAGTCCCTCTCGAGAATGGCCCACTTCTGGATGTAGTAGGGTCGGGCAGCTGCATTCTTGTTGACCCTCTGTATCCCCTCTTCAATGGCCTGATACACGGCCTCATCCTTCCTCCCCACGATCTCAGGTACAGTGGTAGCTTTGCTGCCCACTCTCCGGCAGAACTCCACAGCTTGTTCGCTCAGATTATCAGTTGGGTCAGAGGTGTCTGGGTCCAGAGTACACTGAAAAGCCAGAGACCAGATCAGGACCGAGCCTTACTCCACAAGACGTAAGTCCTGGTCTTGGAGGGGGTCTTACTGCTGATGTCAAGGATATGGATCACTGTGAGCTGTTTCAAAGAGTCGGTTCTAGAATGAGTAGGATGCTACCCTGACTGTGTTGAGCCCCGTGGGGTGGTGGAAGGAGCAGTGGTCTGAGAGAAGATGTCAACCAATGAAGTCATAACCTAAAGCAGGGACCATAACTCCTGCCCCATCTACCATCCTGGGAGACTGAGTATCTGCTGAGGAGAATGAGGGCTGCAGCACTTTGTAAAGTGGACTGTACTGGAACATGTTAAGGATCATCACAGCAGCATATTATTAATTGTACCATTGGGGACAGAAGGAATTTCCACGTGCTACAGCTTTCCCTTAGTGCAGGCAGCACTGACTAGTTACTCCAGAATAAAGTCGTGAGATCCAGATGTGTCCTGGCTAAACATGGCTTTTGCCTGGGCCCGACCCACAGACTACCCATTAGCTGCTCCTCCAGAGCCAGAACCCCCAGACACACCTTCAAGGTGAGCAGCATGGACAGGAACTTCCTCTGGTCTCCGATCAGCATGGCGTTGCTGATGATGGGCAGCTCTGTCTTCACGGCTTCCTCGATGGGCAGAGGAGGAACATTCTCCCCACCGGCTGTGATGATTAATTCTGGGGAAGCAAGGCCAGGCCCCCGGCACAGGCTTTAATACAAGTGCCCCGGCTGATCCAAGACCCAAGCCTTGGCCATGGCTGGGGAGGCCAGAGCAGCAGGGATCTTTGTTGGAGACTAGGGGAGGCTCAGAGATGCCCCATCTCTGGCAGTCAAGAAGCAAAGCCCTCACAAGCACCTCACACCTGCTGGGGGATGGTGGCAGTTCCCAGAGGACAAACGCTCACCCAGGGCTCCCACTCCCCTGCTCATTACCCAAGACTCTGCCTGCTCACTCTTCTCATCCACCTCCCCCTTCTGCCAGACCCAGTTCCTCAGTGGACCTCTCAACTCACCCCGAATAACCATGTCATTCCCCTCCCTGCCTTTCCTTAATAACCACCACCCATCACTTATGAGGCACTCTCCATGTGCCAGGCACTGTGCAAAATACTCACCGTATAGTAACTCATTTAATCCTCACATTAGGCCTATAAAGAAGCAGGCATTCTCCCCACTCTCACCACTCTTATTCAACATAGTACTGGAGGTTTTGGCCAGAGCAATTAGGCAAGAGAAAGGAATAAAAGGGATCCAAATAGGCAACAAAGAAGTGAAACTCTCATTATTTGCAGACGACATGATTTTATATATAGAAAACCCTAAAGAATCCATCGGAAAACTACTCGAAATAATCAACAACCACGGCAAAGTTGCAGGGTACAAAATCAACTTACAAAAATCAGTTGCATTTCTATACTCTAATAATGAACTAACGGAAAGAGAACTCATGCTGGTGGCCCGGGTTCAGATCCCGGGCGCACACCGATGCACCACTTGTCAGGCCATGCTGTGGTGGCATCCCATATAAAGTGGAGGAAGATGGGCACAGACATTAGCCCAGGGCCAGTCTTCCTCAGCAAAAAGAAGAGGATTGGCATGGATGTTAGCTCAGGGCTGATCATCCTCACCAAAAAAAAAAAAACAAAACAAAACTCAAAAAGATAATCCCATTTACAATCACAACAAAAAGAATGAAATATCTAGGAATAAATTTAACCAAGGAGGTGAAAGACCTATACAATGAAAACTATGACATTATTGAAAGAAATCGATGATGACATAAAGAAATGGAAAAATATCCCATGCACACAGATTGGAAGAATAAACATAAAAATGTTTATATTGCCCATATTACCTAAAGCAATCTACAGATTCAATGCAATCCCAATCAGAACCCCAATGACATTCTTCACAGAAATAGAACAAAGAATACTAATATTCACATGGGGCAACAAAAGACCCTGAATAGATAAGACAATCCTGAGAAAAAAGAACAAAGCGGGAGGCATCACAACCCCTGACTTCAAAATATACTACAAAGCTATAGTAATCAAAACAGCATGGTACTGGCACAAAAACAGACACATAGATCAATGGAACAGAATTGAAATCCCAGAAATAAAACCACACATCTACGGACAGCTAATCTTCGACAAAGGAGCTAAGAACATACAGTGGAGAAAGGAAAGTCTCTTCAATGAATGGTGTTGGGAAAACTGGACAGCCACATGCAAAACAATGAAAGTAGACCATCTTCTTTCGCCACACACAAAAATTAACTCAAAATAGATCAAAGACCTGAAGGTGAGACCTGAAACTATAAAACTCATGGAAGAAAATATAGGCAGTACACTATTTGATATCAGTCATAAAGGGATCTTTTTGAATTCCGTCTACTCAGACAAGGGAAACAGAGGAAAAAATAAACAAGTGGGACTTCGTCAGATTAAAGAGTTTCTACAAGGCAAGTGAAACCAGGATGAAAATGAATAGACGACCCACCAGCTGGGAGAAAATAGTTGCAAATCATATATTCCACAAGGGGTTAATCTCCATAATATATAGAGAACTCACACAACTGAACAATAAAAAAACAAAAAACCTGATCAAAAAAGGGGCAGAGGATATGAACAGATACTTTCCCAAGGAAGATATACAGATGGCCAATAGGCACATGAAAAGGTGTTCAACATCACTAATCATCAGGGAAATGCAAATCAAAACCACACTAAGATATCACCTTATACCCATTAGAATGGTTATAATCATCAAGATAAAAAACAACAAATGTTGGAGAGGTTGTGGAGAAACGGAACCCTAATTCACTGCTGGTGGGAATGCAAACTGGTCCAGCCACTGTGGAAAATAGTATGGAGAGTCCTCAAAAAATTAAAAATAGAAATATGTTATGATCCAGCTATCCCACTACTGGGTATCTACCCAATGAACCTGAAATCAACAATCCAAAGAAGCTTATGCACCCCTATGTTCATTGCAGCATTATTCACTATAGTCAAGAAGTGGAAGCAACCCAAATGTCCCCCGACTGATGATTGGATCAAGAAGTTGTGGTATATGTGTATAATGGAATACTACTCAGCCATAAAAAAAGACAAAATCGTCCCATTTGCAACAACATGGATGGACCTGGAGGATATTGTGTTAAGCGAAATAAGCCAGAGAGAGAAAGACAAACACTGCATGATTTCACTCATATGTGGAAGACAAACTAATGGACAGACAGAGAGAACTGTTTGGTGGTTACCAGGAGCAAGCAGGTTGGGGGGTTGGGCACAAGGGGTGAAGGGAGGCATTTATACGGTGACTGAAAAACAATAATGTACAACTAAAATTTCACAATGTTATAAACTATTAAGACATCAATAAAAAAAAAGAAGCAGGCATTCTCATTTTACAGTTGAGGAAACTGAGGCACAGAGAGGTTAACTAACTTGTCCAAGGTCACGTGGCAGAGCTAAGATTTAAGTGCAGTGCATTTCCAGAGCCCCTGCTCTTACCCACCCTGCTCTGGTCCCTCTCACCCTGCTTACACCTTTCCAACTGAATGCCCCCTCCCCTTCTCTCCATCTGCCCCACAGACTGCCTATTCTTCAAGGACCAGCTCAGTGGCCTCCTTCAGGAAGCCCTCTCCAACTCTTCCAGTCCACACTAACTCCTTTCTCTGAGCTTTTCTCATAGTGTCTGTCCACTCATCCACTGGTTCATTCTTTTATTCAAATATTTTTTGTCTCTGTGTGCAAGGCCAGGGACCAGGAACGCAATGCACTGGTCTTCTGTTCTCTGAATGATGGCTTACTTCCAGGCTAGATGGTAATAAATGGGCATTTAAATACACCTTGACTCATTTTAGCTACTAGATTGTACTCCTGTTCCCTGAGTTCTATCTAATTCAACAAAGATAAGTTGGTCACATTTCTGTGCATAAGTCCTGTGGTGACATCAGGCACCGAATAGAACGAGACAGCCCCTGGCTGCAAGGAACTCACAGTGCGGTGGGGCAGTGGATATTAAGCATGAATTGGGGCTTGACAGGCAGAGGGTGCACATATGCAGAAGCACACACGCCTTTAGGAAGCTGCAGGTAATACAAGGAGGCAAAGGCTGGAGAGGGAGCAGAGTCAATCACAGAGGCCTCCAATGCCACTGAGGAGCTGGCCTGCGCAGGTGGGAATCACTGAATGGCTAGGAATCAAAGTTTTAGGACACTCTGGTGACTGTGGTGAAGAGTGGTTATTAAGGGGGCGAGATGGCCAGAGAGGAAACCATGACAAAAGTCCAGACGATCAGGGTTTGTTTAGGGCAGCAGGAGTGGGGCAGAGAGGAAAAGATAGACCCTGGCAATGTGCGGCAAGGCAGAATCCAGCCTCTCACACATACACTCATCATTGTTCCCTCGTTCTTGTTCTTTTATCACCCCCCAATACTTACCAGCATCAATTACTATTACTAAATCATAAAAACCCTTAGAAAAATAAGTATAGAAAGGAACTTCCTTAATCTGATAAAGAATATCTACAAAAAATCCACATGAAACATACTTAATGATAAAATATCGAGAGCTTTCCCCTGAGATCAGGAACAAAATAAGAATGAGCACTATCACCACTTCTATTCACCATTGTTCTGGAGGTCGTAACCATTGCAATAATGCAAGAAAAAAAAGTTCATATGGAATGGAAGGGAAGAAATAAAACTCATTATTTGAAGACGATCTGATTCTGTCCATTGAAAATTTGAAAGAAGGTACAAACTACTAGAATTCATATCTGAACTCATCAAGGTCTTTTGACACACGGCCAACATGCAAAAAGCAATCCTATTTCTATATACCAGCAACAAACAAATAGAAAGCAAAAAATTTTAAACGATGCTATTTACAAAAGCATCAAAAAAATACTTAGGAGTAAATCTAAGGAAAGATGTACAAAAATCTCTACATTGAAAACTACAAAAATTGTTGAGAGAAAGACCTAAGCAAATGGAGAGACATACCATGTTTTTTTTTTTTTTTAAACCATCTGTTTCTTCCTGGGACCCTGATTAATACAATATGAGTTGCAAATATTTTTACCTAGTGTCATTTGTCTTTGCTCCTAGTGATTTGACTACATAGAAGTTTGTTTGTTTGTTTTGTTTTTAATGTAGTAAAATTTCACTAGTTACTTTTTGTGGCTCTTGTATTTTGAGTCATAGTTAGAAAGAACTTCCTCATTCCAGTGTTATAAAGGATTTCTCTAATGTTTTCTTCTAGCGGTTATATGGTTTCAATTCTTTATATGTAAATATTTTATCCTTTTTATTGCTAATGTAAATGGACTAATTTCTTCTATTATATCTTCTAAACCCGTTATTTGTACAAATGGAAGCTACTGATTCTCTACAAAATTCTCTTGGTTTTTCTATATACGTGATTTTACTACACATAAATAATGATAGCTTTAACTCCTCCTTTCTAATTTTTACAACTCTAATTTCTTTCCTTATAATTATATTGGCTGGTACTTCAAATACTGTTAAATAATAGTGGTGATAGTGGGCATCATTGTCTTGTTCCTTACTTTAGAGGGACTGAGTCTATGTTTCTTATGACTGATGCTGACTTTTGGTTTAGGAGTGATACATTTTATTACGTTAAGGAAGTATTCATCCATTTCTATTTTTTTTTTTTTTTGGTGAGGAAGATTAGCCTGAGCTAACATCTGTTGCCAATCCTCCTCTTTTTGCTGAGGAAGATTGGCCCTGGGCTAACATCCGTGCCCATCTTCCTCTACTTTATGTGGGATGCCACCACAGCATTGCTTGATAAGTGGTGTGTAGGTCCGCACCTGGGATCCAAACCTGTGAACCCCGGGCCGCCGAATTGGAGCTAGCGAACTTTACCGCTATGCCACCAGGCCAGCCCCCATTTTTATTTTTATTGAGTGCTTTTTCCCATGAATGGATATTAATTTTTGTCAAAATTAATCTCTTGGCACCCCCATGCAGCACTACAGTTTGGGCAGGGATCACCCAGGACCTCTCTGCCTTATGCGAGAGTACCGGCCAGGACTCACTGGCCTGCACACCCCGAGACCCAAACACCAGGACGTCCTGTCCCTCCCAAGGCTCAGGCCAAGCGCACCCAGACTCTGCCCTGAAAGCCGACCCTCTGTGGCCAGCAGAACCCGGGCTCGATTGCACGCCGGCCTGCGTGATATCCAGAAAGTTGTTTACCCACTCACTGACCTTCAGTTTCCCGTGGGAAACTGGGGCGGGGGTGTGGGATGGGGATGGGAGTGGGGGATTCCCACATGGATGCTTCGACATTACATCCGCTTGCTCATTCAAAGTCAGCAAAGCACCCTTTCCATGGAGGAGGCCTCAACTTACTTTCCTGGGAGAGCCAAAATTCTTCATGGGAAATTTCTTTGAAGTCTCATGTTTTATTTTAAATATTATGTCCAATTTGTGTTCTACTCTACATCATATCCGTGTTTGCATATAAAAATACACAATATTTATGCCCTCGAATCTTCTGGAAATACTTGCCTTGTTTCTCTAGGGAGTTTGAATGCCAGCTCCACTATTTACTAGCTGGGTGACCTTGGGCAAGTTACTTAACCTCTCTGGGTGTCCTCATTAATAACTGGGGGTAATAATAGTATCTGCCCCACAGGAGACAATAGTAAGTAAAATCAGGTCAGTCAAAGTGCGGGGCACTTAGTAAGGGCTCAGTAGTAGTAGTGAGTATAAATAGTGGTGGCAGTCTCATTCCTCCCGCCCCCCACTGCAGCCTCGAACCCGCCGGCGCTCACCTTTGAGACGCCCGGTGATGTAGAGGAAGCCGTCGGCATCCAGGTGTCCGGCGTCGCCCGTGTGTAGCCAGCCATCGGCATCTATGGCCTCACACGTCTTGTCCTCCATGTTCAGGTAGCCCATGAAGATGGTGCGGCCCCACAGGCAGATCTCGCCGATGCCCTCTGCATCCTGGTTCAGCAGCTTCACTCGGCAGCCTGGCACCACCTTGCCGGAGCTGGGGGTGGAGGGGCCAGGAGGGTAGTCAGAGGGAGCCGGTTCCTCCAAGCCCTGGATCAGCTCCCACCCAGGGGCCCTGGGGTCCCCAATCTCTCAGTCTTCACTGATGGCTAGAAGATGTCCCCTCCCAGGATATTTGTGTTTTAATAGGGGATTTAGAGCTGAGAGGTAGGCCAGATTACAAGTTTGTAGGTGAATGAATGAATGAATGAATGAGTAAAATCCTAATGGGACAACTTCAAGCCATGTGACAACTTCAAGCACGGCCTTCAAGCAGGCCGTGAGGGGAGGTATTGAAGCACAACAGATGATCCTTCAACTCACTGCCCAGAACTGACTGCCCTCTTTGCCCAGTGGAGGGCTGGCCCCGTCCCCCCGGCTGCCACCTCAAATGGAGCCTGGGCCATCAGCGATGCTGGGACACTCTAACATACCCCACCGTACTGGAGGGAGGGAACAAAGGGAAATTCCTCCATGAGAACCCTGTTCAGGGGGGCCCTGGGCTATAAGACTGTTTTGAACTACAGACCCGTGTGACACTGTGGCAGAGACCACATCCTTGAGACTGAGGCCTGGCCAAGGGACTTGGCCCAAGATGGAACTGTTGGCACTTGGGGACCCCACAGTCCAGAGGCCCAGGCTCTGGGTCCCCATCAGCAGGGCGTCACTGAGGGGTGTCAGCAAGGGCGTGTGGACATGTGTATGTGCTGCGATCCGGGCCACACCTGTAGAGCCGGTAGTTGTAGGGGCTGGACATGAAGTGGGGGCCTGAGGTCTCACTGAGGCCATAGCCTGCATATAAGCGGATGTTGAGGCCCAGGAAGAAGCGCTGGGTCTCCGCGGTCATGGGGGCTGCTCCATAGAAGTTCTTCTGACACCTGGCAAAGCCCAGTGCCTGGCGGACCTTGGCTAGCACCAGGTAATCTGCCAGTCTGGTTGTGAAGGGCTTCAGATCGCTGGTAGGAGAGCAAGAATGGTCCACAGAAGAAAACACACACACACTTGCGTTAAAAGGGTGGGTAAGCAGTGGGTACACACTGGCCTGGCCATTCCAGTTATCCGTTCTGATTGGTTAGCGCCAAGGCCAAACCATTGCTAAATATTTTTAATCTTGGCCTTGCCTATGAACATGCATGCACACATTGTGCATGTAGTTGTGTGCAAATATGTTGAGCCAGGAAATCAGACAAGCAGATTCAGTTGTGTATAGGTGCACAGGCAATAACCCAGATGCACGAAAGTTTGCACACACAGGAATACACATGTGCAGAGACTTAAAGTATATATGCATGGACACGCATGTACAAACGTGTATGATCCCATTTGAAGCCCATGAATGGGTCATTCATGCATATTCACTTTTCATGTCTGTGTCAATGAAGCTGTAGGTGCACAGACACAGGTACATGTCTCATGAGACGTGATACACTTTCACAGACACAGTAGTAATGAAAAATATTTCTAAATTGGAACAGGCCAGATTTATGCCATTGACCCTCCCACAGCACTGTGTGGGAATTTAAAAAGCAATCAAAAGGCTGTGGGGGAGAGACTCGAGTGGTTAGCAGGTTCCATCACTGTGGCCCCTTCTCTAGCCACCGCTACTGAGGTCAAGAGACTGTGTCAGGAGCTGTACCCAGAGGTGAATGCCACCTTGGAAGGAGCATGTCAGTCCTCCCACTCAGAACCCAAAGATGGGGTGACTGTCTCCTATGGGATCTGGGAAGAGGACAGGGGCTCCAGCCAAGCCATTGACGGGGCCTCTGCACAGGGATCCCCAGAGCTGACAGGCCAGTGGGGCCAGGACAAGCCTGGCCTATCAGATCCTTAGTTGTATACTGGGATTATGACCCAGCCCCGCTGCCTCCCCAGGCGTCCAGTCCCCCAGCCCTCTCTACCTCCAAGGGCAGGTGAGGTTCTGCTCCAAGGTCACCGACATGGCCCACAGCAGCATCTTGCGCCAGATGAAGCCAGACTGAGCTGCCACCTCCTGGATCCGCTCCATGATCTTCTCCCACACCCGAGGCACCCCCATGTGGGATGTGGGCTCCACCTCCCGCAGCGTGTTCACCAGGCTCCCCTGTTCACCGCCAGAGAGAGACAGGTCTGCTGGTTCAGGGCCAGCGGGGGCCAGGAGGACCCTAGCACCAAAGTCAGCGTGCACATACCTCACAGGCATCCTGCAAACAGATGCTCATACATGTGCATACACACATCTTCACACAACTTGTGTCACATACTGTTGGCTGCGACTCAACAGCCACCCCCTCACTGCCCTTCTTTGCTAACAGAACTCTGATGTTGTTCAGGTATCAGGGTGGCCAGATGCTTTGGAAGTACCTCAGTCCCCTCCCAGTCTGGGGGCAGTGAGTCTTTATTAGTCTCACTCAGACATGATAATCCCATTCCCCTAAGCAGCGGTTGGTCTAGGATTGAACATGTGACACCATTCGGGCCAACGAGATGCAGGGTGCAGGGAAGTCTGCTGGGGGCTTCTGGGACACTTCTCCTCATGGTTAAAATAAGGATCCAAAGAATAAGTGTAGTTTATGAGATTGGATGCAGGGCAGTGCTGTGGCCATCTGTGACCATCTTGTGACCTTACTCTGAGGATGGCCTATCCTTGATGGCATGGTGGACCCTCCGATCTACTCTGACTCCACTTTCCTTTACATAATATCATCCGTTTCCCTTCTTGTTTGGTCATTTGAGTCAGGCTGTGCTAATTGTAGCTGAAAGAATTCTGACTGGTAAGTGCACAGGGAACCTATGCACTCATGAATGAACACACAGGGCCCACAGACACGAGTATTCACTTGGGTATGCCCTTACACACATACGCGGGCACCTACACAGGCAGAGAGGCAGACTGACCTTCAGAGCATCAGGCTCGGCAAAGCAGACCTGGGCCCCCCACTGGATGCCTGTCCACAAGTCATAGATCTGGGCAGCAATGTGGCTGAGGGGCAGGTAGCTGACCACCACCTCCTGTTGGACTTCCGCTGGCTGGATGTCACCGGCCTGGCTGCCGTACCGTGCTGTCCACGTGATCTGGAGGCCAGGCAGATGGGCGCTGGCAGTGTCTACCAGCCAGCCCTGGAAGTGCTCGCATCTGTGGCCACTCCGGGGGCTTGGGCTACTTCGTGAGGGATCCCCAGGGTGTTTGCTCTCCTGGACATCTCTGCAGGAAACCCCCAGGGACAGGCCTTCCTCCCCCCGCCCCCACTTCTCCATCTCCCTCTCCTTTGCTGGGCTCAGTCTGAACCACAGATTAATGGGCTGTCCTACTTATCCCAGCTCCCTGAGCTGAGTGGCCAGAAGAACCTCCCCAGGAGCTGTTAGAAAACACCCACAGCCCACCCCCACCCATCTGGGCATTTGTCCTACATTGTCTTGACTCAGCATCACGCCCTTGGGGTTCCCAGTGGTGCCCGATGTATAGACCAGCACGCAGCACTCGTTGGGCTGCTGGGCATTAATGATGGTGTCCAGGGCCTCCTCGGGCACCTCATTCCCCAGCTCCATGAATTCCTCCATCTGTGGCAGGTGGGAGAGAGTGGGCAGTCCAGGTCAGCTAGGCGGGCCTAGAGATGCCCCATCTGATACCCAGGGCCCCTCTACCCATACCGTGTACACGTTGGCCATCTTCCTTGGAGGAGGTTCTCGATATATCACTACTGCCTTCAGATGTGGCAGATTTTTCCAGATCTGTGTTGACAGGAAAAATAAATGGGGTTTCATCAAAAAAAGAGTCACCTCTTGAGAAGAGCCCCATCTCCAGGTGTTAGTCTACCTGGCAGTCACTTTGTGGCAAAGGTCCCTGGGTTCCCCAGCCCTGACATTTGACCCAGCAGGACACTTGCCACTTTTCATGCAGTTTTCCCATCATGAGAACTTTGAGCAGTAAAGGTGGGATAAGCAGGGGGCAGGAATGACTCTCTAGGAAAGGAAAACCAAGCCACCTGGGCCTGGCTGAACAAACTATGACCTAGCTCCATGACAGACAACTATGTAACTGTAGAAGACAGAGGTGGAGAGGGAAGGAAGGAGGGAGGGAGAGAGAGGGAGAGAGAGAGAACTCAGTCATCTTACTGAGTTGAGGTGACAGAGGCTAGAGTTCAGGAAAGCTGACGCGGCTGGAATTTGTGGGACAGAATACCAGAGAGGAGAGAACTATGTAGAGAGAGTTCTAGAAACCTCTTTAGGCATCCTCTTAAGTCTTTGGCTGAATACCAATCTGCACGTGCACAGGGTGAAACTCCGTGAAGCTGGAGGAAGAAGAGTGACTGGGGCTAGAAGACAAACAAGAGCGCAGATGGGGCCAGAATTCACGTTTCCATCAGCCAGAATGGAAGGACCTCATGAGGCATTAAGTAGAGACCCCAAAAGGGTCAGAGCTTAGTAGTGGGGTGAAATTAGCCTTAGAGTAAAGGCTATCTAAATCTACCCTGAAAAGGCTTAAACACAAGTCTCAAAATGAAGCTCAGAGAAAAGGAAAAAAAACTGGTCATGTAAGAAAAATTTAAAATACTAAGATGCATGAGGAAGCTATTCTGGTTTAAACCTGATTTGGCCTAAATTTGCTTTTAACCAGAGTAGCCTGACTTGCAGCCTGTCAAACGTACATTGCACATCTGCTTTAACTCACTACCCTAAAGTAAAAAACGTACTCTTTGAAGATAAAGATGACGCCTCCCTCCCTGTGATGCCAAAACCAGTATAAGTTTCCCTTCCTATAACACCAGTGTCATGTTGCTATGCTGTGTACATGCCAATCTGTATCAAAATGTCTCCTTGAAATCTTGAAAGAATGTACCCTTGTCATGCTTGAAGTATGTCTCTTTGTTCCGAGATGGTATATAACCGTGCGAAAAACCACCCCTTCTCTGCAGTGCTTGCTTTCTTTGTGAAGGCTGCTCTCCTGGGCTATAGTCCTCAGCTTGGCTCAATTAAAACTCTCTTCTGTTCTTTACTATAGATTGATTATTGATTATTTGCATTGACACTGAAGAAAAAAAAAGACCTATGGGAGAATACCAAGATGTCTAACATATATGTAATTGGAGGCCCAGGAAATATTTTTTAAAAATTGAAAACAAGTGTGAGAAATTTCCAAATTTGATTAAAACTATAAATCCACCAATTCAAGACTCTCAATGAACCCCCAGCAGGATACACACAAAGAAAAACCACACCAAGACACAACATAATCAAATTGTTGAAAACTAGTGATAAAGAAAAAAAGTCTTAAAAGCAGCCAGAGAACCAAGATATGCTCTGCGGAGAGGAACAAAGATAAGAAATCACAGACTTCTTGTCAGAAACTACTCAAAGTAGAAAATATTGGAATGTGATCTTTAAAAGGCTGAAAGAAAAAAAGAAACTCTGTCAACCCATAATTTTAAACCAAATAAAAATAGCTTTCAAAAAAATTAAGGCAGGGGCCGGCCCAGTAGCGTAGTGGTTAAGTTCACAGCTCCGCTTCAGTGGCCTGGGGTTCGCAGGTTTGGATCCCAGATGCAGACCAATGCACCACTTGTCAAGCCATCCTGTGGCGGCGTCCCGTATAAAGTAGAGGAAGATGGGCATGGATGTTAGCCCAGGGCCAGTCTTCCTTAGCAAAAAGAGGAGGATTGGCAACAGATGTTAGCTCAGGGCTAATCTTCCTCACAAAAACAAAACAAAACAAAACAAAAATTAAGGCAAAAATAAACATGTTTTCAGACAAAGAGAAGATGAGAGAATGTGTTCCCATCAGTCTTGTAATGTAAAAAATGTTAAAGAAAATTCTTCAGGCAGAAGGAAGATGATATCAGATGAAAACTTGGGTCTGTGTAAAGAAATGAAGAGTGCCAGAAATGGTAAATATGTGGGTAAATATAAAAGACATTTTTCTCTTCTTTAAAAATTTCTTTGAATAATAACTGTTTAAAACAATGTATTGTACGGTTTATAACCTGTATAGAAGTAAAATGGATGACAACAGCACAAAGGATGGGAGGAGAGGTGGAAGTATACTGTTGTAAGATTCCTACATTATTTGTAAAGTAGTATAATACTATATTATGATGTTACAATATTATTTGAGAGTAGACTGTGATAAGTTAAAGATGTGTATTGCAAATCCTAGAGCAAGAATTAACATAATAACAAAGAAGGGTGGCAAATAACCCAGTGGAAATAAAAATGGAATACCAAAAAACTAAACAGAATAAAAACAAAAAACTCAATCCAAAAGAAGTCAGGAAAGAGGGGAAAAGGAACAAAGAACAGATGGGACAAATAGGAAACAGCCGACTGGTAGATTTATGGACAGTTTTGTCAGATTGTATATAAAGGCAAGACCCAACTATATGCTGTCTAACAAGAAACTTGCTTTAAATACAAGGACACAGATAGGTTAAAAGTAAAACAATGCCAAAATATATACCATGCAAACATTAATCATAAGAAATCTGGAGTGGCTATATTAATTTGAGACAAAGGAGCTTTGGAACAAGAACTGCTACCAGGGATAAAGAGGGACATTTCTCAATGATAAAGGGATTAATGTATCAAGAGGACATAAGAATCTAAATAAGTATGTACATAATAGAGCTTCAAAATACATGAAGCAAAAATGGATAGAACTGAAAGGAGAAATAGATAAATCCACAATAATAACTAGAGATTCAACATGCCCTTTCTCAGTATTCGATAGAACAAGTAGACAGAAGATCAATAGGGGTATAAATAACTTAAACAGCATTATAACACGACCAACCAAGGTGACATTATTAACATTTATAGAGCATTCTACCCAACAAGTGCAGAATGTACATTCTTTCAAATATACATGGAACATTCACCAAATATACCATTATTCTGTCTACCACAGCTGCTCTGCACAAACAGGGTGCTTTGGGTAGCAAACAGCACCAGGTGATAAGAGAAAATTCTTCCTTTGGAAAAGAATCCTAGCTGACGAATTAGAAAACCAATGTTTTTCCATGGATCCTAAAATAATTCATTCAGGCAAAGATCGTCAATGGAGAAAGGTGGATGGGGAACTTCACAGGGGAGGAGCAGGTGGCCACCACCTGAATCCACTGACGAAACTCAGCATCATTACACAGGGTACCAGCTGACACCCTGTGCCTCTGGAGGCTGTGCAGCACAAAGTACACAGTGCCACCTACGGGGTGTTCTTGCCTACAAATGTTTAATTGGAACTGTATCAAGCCTTTGGATCTAACAGGAAGTACAGAGGTTAGAGGAACAAGTTGAACAACAGTGTGAGGAAGAAGTCAGACAAATCCAGAATGTGGGACATGGTTCAGAATGGCTGACCTAGTTTCTGCAGCATATTGACGGCAGAGGTTCTCACATTTGAACCCGTGTCAGAATCACCCGGAGGCGTGTTAAACAGTGTGCTGGCCCCACACCCTGGGTTTCTGATTCAGTAGGTCTGGGGTGGGGCCTGAGAATGTGCATTTCTAACAAGTTCCCAGGAGACGCTGATGCTGCTGATCCAGGACCATAGTGGCTTATGCCATGGGAAACGAAAGGTGCGGCTTTATTCTGAATTAAAAGACACTTAAGGGGCCAGCCTGGTGGCGCAGTGGTTAAGCGCGCACGCTCCGCTTTGGCGGCCCGGCATTCGCAGGTTTGTATCCCAGGTGCGCGTTGACGCACCACTTGTCAAGCCATGCTGTGGTGGTGTCCCATATAAAGTAGAGCAATAGGGGCACGGATGTTTGGCCCAGTGCCAATCTTCCTCAGCAAAAAGAGGAGGAATGGCAACGCATGTTAGCTTAGGGCTGATCTTCCTCACACACACACACACACACACACACACACACACACACAAGGCGCTTAAGAGGCACCGCCACAGGCAGCATGTGGGCCAGGTTTAGATCCTGATTCAAATAAAGCGACTGTAAAAAGACATCGTGAGTATTAGATGATACAAAAGAATTGTTTTACTTGTGTTAGATGTGATAAAGTGTGATTATTTAAGAAAAATTTCTTATACTTTAGAGATTCAAATTGAAATATTCGGGGGATGAAATGATATGTCGTCAGAGATTTGACTTCAAATACTTCAGCAAAAAGGGTGAATCAACAAAATGAGTGTGACAAAAAAAACATTGATGATGATTAAATCTGGATGATCAATACATGAAGGTCCACTAAACTCTTTTATTTTTGTTTTTTTGGAAACTTTCATAATACAAATTTTATTTTAAGTAATTTCCTAGGGTAGACATTTCCTAACTCTGGGGGTCAGTTTCTTCAGTTGTAAAATGGGGCTGGAGGAGGGCATTTGGAATAGATCAACGATCTATGCAGAGGTGGTCAGCTCCCTGAGGTACGTGGCAAAATCTATTGGAGGCCTTTTAAAAGCTCTACTGCCCTCCCCACCCTGGTATTCTGATATGAGAGCCATGTTGAGGAGTGGGTGACTTTCGTGGGTGAGGCTGAGAAGAGCTAACCGTTGTGGACTTGGCAGCTGAGGCCCCTGCCAGCTTAGCTCTCAAGGAAATCTTAAAGCAGCGAGGGCTCAGGCAAAGCTGGCCTAGGGGAACCTGGGTCAGCTCCGGGCTGGGGCTGGAGCCTCTGGGTCTACAAAGCCTCCACACCTGAGGAAAGCAGGGCCCCACTGAGTCCTAGGGCGCCTGGGCAGGCCAGTGACAGGACATCCCTGCTGGCTGGCCACTGTTCTCTAAATACACAGTCCTTTTCTGTTTAGTGAGGGGTCTGAGTGCTTGGGGTGGGGTGGGTGACAAAGGAAGCGCTGAGGACAGCTGGGGCTCACCTTGGTCTCTCAGAGCAATTCATTTTGGGCTGCATAATCCACACCCATATCTCCTCTCTCAGTTTCAAGCATTTATCCAAGTCAGACAGAATGGAGACATTTAGAATAAGAGATTCTGAAATCACAGGGTTCAAAAGGAGACAGAAAAAGACCCCACAAGGAGGAAGACAATCCCTGCGTTGATAAAGTGAGTTTGTTTGATAAACTCTTAATAGTAAAACGAAAGCAGGTGCAAAGCGCTTGGGGTTTTCAAAATAATCCTCAAATGGCATAAAAGAGGGAGCACTCACATGGATTGGAGCCAACCGTCAGTGGGGTCTGGAACCTGTGGGCAGGACCGACTACGTGCTTTGTGGGGCCAAGTGTAGAATGCAAATGTGGGGCCCTTGTTCAAAACTTATTAAGACTGGCAACAGCAGAGCATTAAACCAAGCACAGGGCCCTGCGTGATGCACAGGTCGCCCGTGAAGCCGGGCCTGCCTGCGGGGTATTGACCCTGGGGTCACTCAGCTGTCTCCCTACCCAGACTCAGTGCCCCTCCTGGGCACCCCACCCCCTCAAGGCGGAGGGTACGCTATGCCTCAGTGGCTGTATTAGGGTGTTCAGAGCAGGCCCCGGCACTTCGTAAGTGCTATATAAATGATGCCCCATGGAGATGCTGCTCCCTCAATTTCTCTCACAAATGGTTCTTATGGTTCCCTCATAAGAACCCAGAATAAAAAGGGACTGAGCTTCCGTCCCTCTACTGCCACTTGTGAGGGATGGGGGTACGCCCTACTTCACCTCTCTGGCCCTGTTTCCTCGCCTGTGAGGTGGGGACCCGTCTCTCAGGCCTGCAGTGATGTCTGCAGGCACTAGGTGGAGCCAGCACTCCATGAACAGCACCCCTGTTACTGTTACTACCGAGCTGCGGGGCCGCCTGTCTGACACCCTCCTTTGCTCCTTTGGGTCTGTTTCTTCGTGTGTGAAATGCAGAGAGGGTGGGCATTGGATGAGACTCCTTTCCCAGTCCCTCTGAGCTCCAAAAGCTCCCTAAGTTTTAAAAAGAGCCCCTTTCTTTCTTCTCCTGTGAGTCAAGACTTTAACAACATAATAATTTAAAAGCACTTATACGGTACTGCAACGGGTTGAATTCTGTCCCCCAAAAAGATATGTTGAAGTCCTAACCCTCAGTACCTTAGATTGTGACCTTATTCGGAAATAGGGTCTTTACAGAGGAAATCAAGTTTCAGTGAGGTCCTCAGGGTGGGCCCTAATCCAATATGACTGGTGTCCTTATAACCGGGATGTTTGGCCACAGAGAAATGCACAGAGGGAAGATGACATGAAGACACACAGGGAGAAAGCCATGTGAAGAGGAAGGTAGAGGTGGGAGTGTTGCATCTATAAGCCAAAGAATGCCAAGGACTGTCAGTAACCCACCAGAAGCCACCAGTTTGTGATACTTTGTCAGGGCAGCCTTAGCAAACTAATACAGGAGCCCACCAAGAGCCAGGTATGTGCCTAAGAATTACCTCTAACAGCTCCTGGGGTGGCTGCTGTCACCATCAGCATCCTCCACAAGGCCATGCAGGATTTGAGCTCGGGCAGTCCAGCCCCAGAATCTGTGTGTCTGACCACTGCCCTAGGCCACCTCTTGGCTTAGACCCTGTCAAGAGGTATTTGTGCTCTCGCCTGGGCAGCTCTGAGGTTTTCCCAGTGCTTCTCTTTATTTCGCTGTGAACCAGCCGTTCTTGGCCTGGGCTGCTCCCGGCCTCACTCAGGGAACTATCTTAAAACATACTCTGATTTGGGGATGCCTTCCAAGTGGTCCTGCCTCGGGGGTCTGAGCTGTGGCCTGGGCCTGCCCCAGTCGAGATGAGGGAAGGCACCTGCTCTGGCCCTTCTGGGGATCCACTTCCCACAGTCCTGGAAGGTTGGAGACCACTTCTCCCACCTTCAGGTACCGGGGGAGCTGAGGCTCAGGTGACATCCCCAGACCCAGAGCCAAGCCAACAAGTCAATCCCAGAGGCCTCCTCTGGGACACAGGGAGCGTCTCACAGGCTGCCGAGTGCAGCTGGGGCACAGAGGTGTCCCCAGGCCACCACATGCCAATGGGGTGCATGTGGGGACAGAGCCAGTCAATGACAGGTCTAAAATGAATCAGGAGGCATCATCAATGTCCTAGAAAAGACCCAGCTGGCTCAAGAGCTCCTGCTATGGCCCTCTTGTCTTTAGAAAACTCTGCAGCACTTGCTCTGGCTTGGCCCAACCCCCACCCTGTGGCTGCCCCCACCCGCACTCCCCACTGAGAGTCAGAGTTGAGTGCTCAAGGTGTCAGAGCCCTGAGCCACACTTGGTGCACACAACCCTTCCCCCGGCCGTGGACCCAGCACCCTCACTGGAGATCCTGTCCTGAAGGGAAGGCCCTGGGAGGAAGTAGGCTGGCTGGGAGTCCTAGCTCAAGGCCCTATCATCTACTTCTTGGGTGACTTAGGGCATGTCCCTGGGGCTTTCTGGGCCTCAGTCTTCTGACCTGGCAAATGGGTAGATAGCCATTGCCCTGCCTTTCTCTATATGTGCGTGTGTGTGGGGGCTGCTGTTGAGGATGAGGGAGGACACTGGAAAGGAGAGTGGAAAAGTCCTTTGTAAGCTAGAGGTCCACGAGGACACCCAGCCTCTGACCCCCATGCCTGCTGCCCCTTTCCCCCAAACCTTCAGGATCTTTTCCAGCTGCTTCTGCTCGTCGACCATGATGACGTTGGCACAGCAGTCATGGGCGATGTACTGGCAGGCCTCAGGGGAGCTAGTTGTGTAGATGCCGGTGACAATGCCACTGCAGGAGACCCGGGAGGATTCTCGTCTGGGCAGGTGCAGAGGGCCTCCCCCTCAGCCCAGTCCCCTGCCTGATCCGCCCACAGCCAGCCCCAGAAAGCTCCCAGACCTGGACAGGCAGGGCTCCCACACCAGCTTAGCACAGCCTTCGCAGGCAGAGAATGGGCCAAAGTAGGGTCTGAAGAGGGCCTCAGCGAAGAGGTGGGATGTTGGGGGCGGGGTTCTAAAAAGCGATAATGACCCTCTCTCCACTCTCTGCCCACCTCCAACCCACTGGAAACTCTGCCCCTACCCCAGCCACTCACCCTGCAAATACTGTGCCCACCGCCGAGAAGAACCACTCCGGGGAGTTGAAGCCGAGGATGGCCACGCTGTGGGCCCGCTCCAGGCCGAGCTCCAGGCCAAAGGCAGACAGGCAGGTCAGCCGGGCAGGGAAGGGGGCCTCTCATTCCCATCAAGCCCCCTTCCAGACCACAGGGGACCCTGCAGGCCCATCTCAGGGACCACCCTCCAGGGGTCCGCCCAGTCAGAGAATGCCCCAGGGGATCAGTCACTCAACAGCCCTCGCTGCCCCTCCCAGGGCCTTCCCAGGGAGTCTCTCTGCCCAGCACACCAGCCTTCCCAGCCCACCTTAAATGTGATCACAGGTGAAAAGCTCGTATCAAGTGCCTGCACGTGGTAAGGGCTCAGTCAATGTAAAACCAGGGCCCAGCACACACCGTTAGCACGATAAATGGTAGTGGTTTTTACAGTTGTCATTTCTAGGGGCTGGCCTGGGGTGGGTGTGGGGGTCAGGGAGGAGGCCTGTGAGGGCCCAGAGCTGGAAGGCAGGCCTGGGGAGGAGAAAGGCTGTGCCGTGAGGGGTCCCTCACCTTCAGGAAGCCCTTGGCAGCTTTGCGGGCAAGCAGGTAGTACTGGAAATAGGAGATGTACTCCCACGTGCCCTGGCGCTTGAAGCCCAGAGCGCTGAGGTCCCTGTACTTGTCCAGGGCATTGTAGAACATCTGATGCACGGTGTAGGGAGGCTGTGCGAAGCTGGGGTCCATGCGCAGGCGCACCCGCCCGTCAGCCCGAGTCGTCCACAGTGTCTCCTCTGCAGGGTAGGGGAGACCACAGCTTGGATCATGCCGGCCTGAGTTGTCCCTAGGGAACCCCTGGTCCTCCCCTGGGCAGAGCTGCCAGCCCCCTGGTCCCAAAGATGCCTTAGGCACTGGGCCATGGGGGCTGGTGGACAAGCCGGTGCCTGGGGTAGGCAGGAGGCCGCATGGAGGAGGAGGTCTGACGGCCTTGAAGGATGGGCAAGGCTTTAGGGATGCAACAAGGAAGAGGAGTGCGAATAGCTGGAGGAGAGATGGAGGCCTTGGGGACAATGAGGAGCCTAGACCTTTTGCTGCCTTCATAACAGCTGGAATTTGCCCCCTGAGGCTGGGCAGTGGGTAGTGGAGTTTGGGCTGCCTCAGAAGAGCAGGATTGGGGCTGGCCCAGTGGCTTAGTGGTTAAGTGCGCGTGTTCCGCTGCTGGCGGCCAGGGTTCGGATCCCGGGTGTGCACCGACGCACCGCTTGTCTGGCCATGCTGAGGCCGCGTCCCACATAGAGCAACTAGAAGGATGTGCAACTATGACATACAACTATCTACTGGGGCTTTGGGGAGGAAAAGGGGAAAAAAAAGGAGGAGGATTGGCAATAGATGTTAGCTCAGGGCCAGTCTTCCTCAGCAAAAAGAGGAGGATTGGCATGGATGTTAGCTCAGGGCTGATCTTCCTCACAAAAAAAAAAAAAAAAAGAAGAGCAGAGTTGTCAGATCTCAAGGTGCCCTCGGGTTTGCCACTGTTCCTCTGCCTCCTAAGAATGGGTTGGGGACAGACCCAACTGGACAGAAAGTCAAAGCATCAAGGATAGCAACACTCCCAAGGGGCTAGAGGAGACGGAAAACCAGCAAGCTCTGATCACCAGCCTGAAAAGTTTCCCTGTCCCAGGAGACAGTAAAGCAGTCTTTGCTCATTCCTGCCGAGTGTCAGGCCCCATGCTGAATCCCTCACACGGGGGTCTCATCTATCTTCGCAACTTGGGTCTGGTAGCCCCATTTTACAGATGGCACAGCTGCAGCTCAGAAAGATGCAATCATTCTCCCGAGGTCACATAGCAGGAAAGGTTTGCCTGATGCCACTGCTCACTCTTGAGACACTGTCCCGGGGCATCGCTCACCCTTTAAGCTTACTTTGTGTGTGTGGTAGGCAGGAACGGAGATTTACCATCTTAGTATGTGAGATTTTTGGCAAGCCATTTAACCTCTGAGTCTGTTTTCTCAGGGGAAAGGTGAGGATTCAGTTCTCAGAGATGATATGATGGTCAAAAAAATGGTGTATGTGCAAGAGTCTTGGCATATAGTTGGTGCTCAATAAATGCATACTTTTGTTCTTCCTCCTGGAGGAACTGGAGAATCCAAGTTCTCCAAATTCTTTGCAAAGGAGGCTTGGATGGGCTGTCCAGATCTTTTGTCCACGGGGCCTCCTTTCCCTGGGGCCAGGGTGGTCATTCTAAGAAGATGAGTGGAAGGGGGAGTGAGGGCTGACTAGGATGACTGGGGCTGCTCTGCCGCCTGCTGGCCGGACCCACACTGAGATGGAGAGGCCCCATCTCGTCGGATGTCCATCTTGAGGTGACAGCAACAGGGTGCCCTGTGTCTGGCCCTTCCCTGAGGCAGGCAGATGGACTGGATGACCTTGTCCTTCCCTGTCAACACTCTTAGGGTAAGTGTGGACCCCAAGGTTGACAGAAAGAGGTAAAGATCCTGGGGCTGGGACAAGAGAGATGGCCTTCCTCCCATGGGGGCCGGGAATGAGGAACGAGGGGTCATACTCAGGCCCTAACAGGAGAAGGGAATATGTGAGGCAGGGGCGTGGCAGCCTTTGGGAATGCAGGCTTGGGCAGAGAGAAGGTCACTCAGCACAGGCCCTGTGTATTGGCAGAGGTCAAGACCATGCTGGCTGCATCTACCACATCCCCTGCCACCTCCCCAGACTGAGGCCCCACCAACAGCCACTGCTAGAGCCCAGTGCCCTCAGGTAGAAGCATGAGCCAAGGGCCGCTGAGGGCCCCCCTCCAATCATTCCTCAGACTTCTCCAAGCCCTGTCCCTGTATCCTGGGACCCCAGCCTGGCAGACCCTAGTCATCAGCCTCTTCAGAGTCTCCAACCTCTGCACTTTGTGAAAGTCCATGTGCACGAGCAGACAGGGCAAAGATGACAGCCTATGCAGTCAGGTCAACCTGGGTTCAAATCCTGTTCTGCCACACCCCGCTGTGTGACCTGGCAAGTCACCCTCCTCCCAGCTCCATTTTAACCATCTTAAAGTGCGACGGGTTGGCAAGGATGTGGAGAGACTGCAGCCTGCATACGGTGTTGGTGGGAATGCAAAATGGCACAGCCACTTTGGAAAACAGTTTAGCAGTTTCCCAAAAAGTTAAACATAAATCTACTGTACGGCCCAGCAATTCCACTCTAAGGTATCTACCCAAGAGAAATGAAAATGCACATCCCAACACAGAGTTGCTCACGAATGCTCATGGCGGCATTATTTATCATAGCCAAAAAGTAGAAACAACCAAATATCCATCAAATGGGGAGTGAAAAACAAAATGTGGTATATCCATATGCTGGAATACTCTGCAGCTCTAAAAAGGAACCAAGTGCTGATACACGCTACAACATGGATGAAACTCAAAAACACGGTCGGTGAAAGAAGCCAGAAGCAAAGGACCACCTATTGTCTGATTCCATTTATAAGCAATGCCCAGAAAAGGCAAGAACGATAGAAAGCAGATTAGTGGTTGCCTGGGCCTGGGGTGGGAATGGAGAGTGCCCACAGATGGGCACTAAGGATCTTTATGGGGTGACGGAAATGTTCTAAAATTGCATTGTGGTGATGTATGTGCAACTATAAATTTGCTAAAAATCATTGAATCATACACTCAAAATGGGTACATTTGATGGCATATAAATTATACCTCAATAAACTGCTAAAAAAAAAAAAAAAAATGGGAGGACGGACGCTGACCTCCCAAACAGGTGTGAGGATTCCGTGAGACAGCCCAGCCAAGAGACACGGCTCAGCAGCTGGTAGCTCTCTTCCCTTCCCTGGCACAGGCTTCTGGTGCTCAGACCAGAAAAGGTGGGCTTTTCCTGTGGGTGCTTCTAGAGGCTCATGCTCCCCTGCATTTACCTGTTCACCTGGGTCGCCAAGAGAAGCAGAGATAAGTCTTACGATCTGTTGCTAAAGCTTCCCTCAGCCAAAAGTTTTCACTTTAACATTTACAATCTTCTTTTAAAATCACAAAACAATACACACTTGTTCTGAGAAATACAAGACAAGTTAGAAGGATATGATATAAAAAGTCACAGGCCCTCTTTCATTCTACCTTTTTAGGTAAATCTAGTGTGTCTGTGTCATGCTTATACAGATATACATACAAGGAGTTAAGTTTTATTTTGTTGGTGTTGCTGCTGTTGCTTTTTATCCAAGGGAAAAAACAAAGGATCCTGTTACTATTATATTAATCAAGGGTAGCAAACCCAAAATGCCCATAGGAGCCAGGTGGGTAACGTATCAGCATCATAATAAATAATGCATAATAATAAATAATAAATGAGTAAAGTGCCTCAGGGTTTGCCTGTGAAACACGGAGACACAGTCTTCATTTCTACAAAGAAATAGGTTCCCTCTCATTTTCCTTGGGGCACATGACTCTTCTAGTCCACCTTTTGTTCCTCTGCTTTTGCTAAGGACAAGGAACAGTGCAATATTTCCCTAAGGAAAACTACACTACAAGAACAATGATAACTGTGCTGACCCAGCCTCAGTGTCAGGGAGGCAACAGGGAGTAGGGGACGGTGAGGGCGGGAGAGCACATGCCTCCTATAAAGGGGGTGGCCACTCCTTAGCTCTAGGCTTTGGTGTGCACTAGGAATGGAGACCAAGAGTCACCTGAAAACTGGGTGTTTATGTATAATTACCTGATTTTTAAATGTTTGTAAGCAAATTTATAATCACTTGGCTTTTAAATGTTGGCTCACGCTTAAAAAAATTATGTGGACCAAATCAAACATAGCCATTAGCCAAACTATCCATCTTTAACTTTTGTGACATTAATATGTCTCTCTTATTGTGTGTGTGGCTGCATAAAACTCTGCTGTTTGACTGTATCATAATTTACTCAACCAGTTGCCCATTGAAAGACGTTCAGATGATTTCCAGCTTTCTGCTTTTGTCCTAGTCTTTCCAAAGGGTAGATTTCCAGAAGTGGGTTTACTGGATCAGAAGAAAAAAGCATTTAAAAATTTGATGGACATTTTGGACACAGTTCCTTCATCTAATTTCTTCTCTCCCAATTAGCTACATGGTTCTGACTTTTTCCAGCGTTCATCTTTTATCTCATGGTGCCTATGCTTTTATGTTAAGTCATCTCATATCCTTCTTCGAAGGAGGAAAGAGGGAATGGAAAAGAGAAGGACAGGCAGTTGGTCTGTGAGTTCAGTCTCCTCTCAGCCCAGCCGTTTTGTGACAGGGATGAGAGCCTGGCCCCTGGAGGACCCCACACCCTTTGGGAAGGGTGACGAGGCCCACTGGCCAGCAGCACAGCCCTGGTTGGGCCCTTTACATTCCCTCCACAGGCTCAGCTGGGCCAGCTGGACCTGTATGAGCCCCCAGACCAGCCAGAAGAGAAGACTCTGCTGGGAAAGGGGCCTGCCCGCTGCCTTGCCAGAGGCCCAATCATTCTCCTCCCCATGAAGGAATTGAAATGGTCACAGCTCCTGTTTACTGATGACACAAGCCCGCCTTGTGCCAAGTGGGCTGTATGCCATCTCATGTTATGCCCACAACCTTCTGCGTTACATCACAGCTAACCCTATAAGAGTGAAAAAGGCTAAGTAATGGCGGGCAGAGCTGCGATTCCAACCCACAGCCTGACTCCCAAATCCGCACTGTTCCAGTCGGCCACGCTGCCTCTCACAGTGGGGCTCTAGGCGGACTCCAGCACCCACAGCTCCTCTGGGAAAGGACCATCATGCCTCCAGCCCGAGTCCTATGCTGGG